TGATTAGAAAATATTAGAAATATTTTTTTTATTATATTTAAATAAAATTTTGATTTTTAACGGGTTATAACGCTCATGAAATGTCTTACAAGATTGTATAATAGATACAATAATAGAAGATTAATAATTAATCAATTTTTATGTTACAATTCAGATCAATTTAACTAGTAAAAATATGATTATTATAACAAAATAACATTAAATAGCTGTCTTTTATTACAATAAATATCAAACTTTTATCCCACAATTCTCATTTAAATGGAAAAGAAGCAAAAGTTTTAGCTGAATTCTTCGTTGAAATTATTAAACAATAAACCAAAACTAGAAAGCAAAACCAGTTTTTAAGCTTAGTACAGGCATTTTTCCTACAAAATTCTGCGAGTTCTTTCACCTAAACAATATTATTGTTCATATAAATGAATATGTACAAGAAAGCTAATTATACAATACTTCAAAGTAGAAGCGCTTTTAAAAGGTTAACATCCTTGAAAATAAAGTACCAGTTCTGTAATTAAAAGCTTTTATGAATTATACTCATATAAATCTCATTCAAGACTGCCTTCCAGAGGTAATTTCATGTAAATTGATCTCAGTAAGCTGCTGCAGTTCTATGAACTGGAGAACGAAGAGAAGCTAGATAAGCAGCATCTGCCTTGTCAATGCCATCAAATAGATAACTAAAAGGTGGCATTTTTATGTACTTCCCGGAACCTGAAGTTATCTTCAGATTTCCCTCTTCCCAGACCACTCTTCCTCCTGAAATTGTCACCTCCACTTTGCCCTGAAAATAATCCCCATCAGGGAAGCTAATAATGCATGAGAGGAAAATTTTAAGAGTCTGAAAAAAATTTAGAAAGCTAATCTCATAAAGCCAACACATCCTGGAATGACCCTATGCAAACAGAAATGAGTTTTGATAATCTGTGCCCGACATGGGCTGTTTGGTCGGAAGCATTAAGAGTGTATCGCATTTCTTTTCCCTGGATCATAATTTTTTTGTTTGATTTACAACAACAACAACAACAACAACAACATCAAGCCTTTATCCTATTACGTGGGATCGGCTAAATGAATCTTTTTTTCTCCACTGTGTCCTATTAAAGATCAAATTCTCGTTTAAATCTAATAAAGAAAGGTCATTCCTAATATTTTCTAACCAATTCTTTTTAGGTCTGCCTCTACCTTTCTTAACATAAGTCAAATCTAATACCTCTACTCTCCTAACTGGGTCATTGGAAGGCCGCCGTTTTATGTTTGATTTGCAAGAAAATAAGATAAAATTTTGAGGGATTTAAAATAGCTCAAAACTTTTTTTTTCCGTATATTTGAAAATTGCCCAAATCAGGTCAGATCATGGCTACTACGAGAAAGAAACTAAACCAAAATTGATTTGGACTCTAAATAGTTAGAAAGTAAAGCTTCAAACATTGATATTACGTAACTGCGAGCCAAAACTTACCTTCCCAGTTTTCCCCTCATACACATTAGTATCAGATCTAGAATGGTGAGAAATAGCAGATATTCTGAAGCTTGCATTAGGATTGAGTACAATTATATCAGCATCAGAACCTTCTAGAATTGCTCCCTTTCTAGGATATATGTTGAATATTTTAGCACTGCAAAGAGAATTATTAATTAGTTCTATCTATGTGATTCACACAGATGCTCATTCTCCATGTTAACATGAAGTGAAATTCTAGAAAAGAAATTCTGACAAAATTAATAGACTTATCATACCATTCAGTGCTTGTTATACGCACATAATCTGTTACAGATATTTTCCCAGACTCCTGAAATTACAATGTTTGTAAAGTATTAATGAAGATCAAACCCAAATCTTTCATTGGCACTATAATGTATAAATGGAACCAGCTTGTTTTATTTGAAGCAGATCTGAAATAAATCAGCTCACCACCATTGTCTCCCAGACAAGATGCATCCTTTCCTCTATACCTTTGTTTTTGATAAATGAGGTTAAAAGAAGGGCCTAAATTCAATCACAAAGTAACATAGAGATGATACGATCCATAGATTCTGCAACATACCATTAACGCCATTCGGAATTTTTCTAAAGTCCCCATACCCAAATGCCTTTTGTGTTGAGTTGAATGTGCAATGATCAGTTCCGACAAGCTGCACCACATGAGAAAGATTTTTTGAAGTTTCTCAACTCTCACAAATTTAGAAAAATTAAAATCTGCAAATGACTAGTGGAGCATATTACGTAAGAAATTGAGAATTGGAAGTTAAAGATAAAATTTTTTGTTTGTAAAATAATAAGTATTTAGCTCTATGGAGTAAAATAAAAGTGCATATCACACTACCTACAATTAGTCTTTTTCGGTAAGCTATGTTTTCTGTTTTGCAGTTACACAAGGTAGTAAGTTTTAACAAGTCTTCACTTTATTGCTTCATTTCTCCAATCAACGAGAGTATATATAGCCCATGGGCTGTGCTCAACAGAAACTTTACCAACTAGAAAGAAGTGAAACAGGGAAATAGTTCCTGAGTGCTTTTAAAGGATTTCAAGGTTATGAAAGAGTTATTACTACCTGCAAAATTCCTGTAGCAAGTGCATCCTGGAGGGCTTTGTCATGTCCTGTTTTCCTTATTGGAGGACTCATAACATATCTATTTGAAGGAAAGAAACGAGCATTAGTATCATGACCACTCTTCAGAAAAAAAAAAAAAGCAAAATAAAAATAAGTAAGGTTCTTGCTTTGCAGCAGTTGTGAAGTCGGAGTCCCAAAGGCCTGATTCATCAAGGGTCAAACCAGAAACTACAGGTTCACCAATAACTCTTTGACCTGCAACTCTCAAGCGAATTGAAGAATTAATATAGAGTGAAGAAACATTATCAAAAAATAAAAGTATACTAGCAGAGAATGCAATTATAGAAAGTTCCATCAAGAACTGACTTCAATTAAAATATATTGGCAAAAAAAAAAAAAAACCAAGGAAAAGGAATGGTACTTGAATAACAATAGAATTTGAATAATTCAGAAAGAAGTATATAGAAGATATCCTTCTGCACAACTCAATACTAAATTGGTGTAGGTCTATAATTGCTAATATACTGACTGGTGGGAGATAGGAGGACAGAAGTATCTTCCAACAACAACAAGTTTTTATCCCATTGTGGGATTGGTTCCATGAATCTTTTTTCTCCATTGTGCCATGATAAGAGTCAAATTCTCATTTAAATACAATTAAAAATAACAACAATATCAAGCCTTTATTCCATTATGTGGGGTTGACTACAAGTCATTTTTCACCATTGTGTCCTATTAATGGTCAAATTCTCATTAATTTTAATGCTCTTGACACATCGACGTACTCCATTTCACAAATGGATGGCATTTGAGCAATTTTGTGCAACGTTGAGGGGTTTGAGCTCATTATGAGCAACATCGAGTAGTTTCAAGCCCATTATGCATGACATCGAGTCCGTTGATTGTTGTTCTCGCATGCTTGCTTGAATCAATTTCAGATGGTAGCTGGAGATCGACAAAGAAAAATCTAGACTGTAAAAGACCCTAAGATATCCTGCATCATAAAGCCAAGTTCCCAACTTGCAAGTTCACTTGCCATTAACTTTCTCTTGAGCTGGCCCGACAAACTCAATGGCCTAACTAAAGATTAGCAATTCATTTTCCA